TCTCATAGGTTGAACACAAGCTCTTCAGCAGATTAATTTTGTTTTACTGTTCTAACATTAGCATTCAAAATCCCTATGGATATGGCGAAGCTTCAAATATAGAAACCTCTTTAAAGGTAGGAAGAAAATGCTGATTTCTATAGTATGTTACATCTAGGGAGCTTACTTCACAGACAACAGACACATTTTAACAATTCAATCCACTTATTGAGCTTTCAAGACCAAATATATGCCCTGCTCTCACAGAAGAGTTCAAGTCCAATATGCACAAGTTAGGAAATGACAAAAATAGGATTGCCATTTCTCGCGTTTGCAAAAATAACTTTTCCAAAAATTGCATGGCAACCAACAGCACAATGAGCGGAAGTCTCCAAGACCTCAGCACAGGGCCTCAAATCTAAAACAGCTTCCTCTGCCTTTTGACAGTTCTCTGCCTCTTTAGCTGTGAACCGAGCACAGGAAGGCTCCTGTAGAAAACAGCACAAAAAAAGGCTCTTTGCCTTTACAAAGAGCAGGTGTAAAGGCAGGAGAGGGGATGGGGGACAACCAAATTCCATTTTCAGGACCATAACATCCATACACTTGGCGCTACTTACTGGAAGTGAGCAGAGTTGAGTGTCTGCCTTTGGATGAATGTCCTAACAGCTCCCTGGTGGGTGCCCAGAGCAGTCTCACCAAGAGGGGCCCGAGCAGCGGCACGTCAGGCTGGTAGTCACCCCACACGCTGGGTCACAAGCCAGCTGAGAACCTGATGGTCGCACATACAGCCATGCACCATGGTAGGACACATGTTACAAGACATCTGGGGATTATGTCTTCCAGCTGGATTGCTTTCAAAGTGAGGGTGGCCTTGCCAGATAAACATCACAGCTGCAGCACAGCTTCTGTCCCATTAACTGACCTAAATGTCAGATGCGGCAATCAGCAGATCCCATATCAAGCTAATCAGTTAAATTTAGCACAGCGGGAGTGAGCGTCTGCAGTGACGCTCCACAAATGTGTGAGGTTTTATGCAGTGTGGAGAAAATGAAGTGGGAATTGCATAGTTCTTGTGCTCACTGCCTCTAATACAACAAATCCAAAAAGGACAGACCTACCTGTATTTTCTGCATTAAACCATAACAAACTCCATGGAGAAAATCTGCTAATATTTTTCTAAAGACAGGAAAGACCACTCTCAGACTCCTATCTTGCACCTTCTTGCCAAATACAACTTCAAGCTTCAAAATACAGCGCTAAAGGTCTTAAAGAAAACATCAGAGAAAACAAATCTTACAGCTAGTTCCTTCTGTTCTGCAGAAATGGCCATATTTCTGTCAGTTCAAGCTTGAGTCTGAAGCAAGGGCAATCTCAGCCTCAAGAATTAAATTTTGGCAAAGTTATTAGCAAGCAAAATCTGTGGCTCATATCAACAGTGTTTGAAGGACAAAAATTACAAGTGTTCATACTGTGTGAGAAAGTGTCATTAGCAACACTTCTGTTCAGGCTTGCAACAGAATCAGCTATAGCTAATTGTTCTTCATGCCTTATAACATGCAGAACTCCCTTCTGCCCCATCAATGACAACAGAAATGTCTTGGATTTAAAATCATCAAGAATGACGATCAATAATAAAGAGTAAAAAGCCCTCTAAAAAGTTCTGTTGTGGTGTAATGAAATGAGTAACATAAAACTAAACACTAATATTGAAATATTTTGTAGGCAACACTGCAAACTTTTAGCAGTGAATGTGGGTTTTTTATTTATTTGTTCTACAAGATGTAATTTGAACCTTGTATCTTTAGAATGGAACGTTTTTACGGAAACTGGTTTACAAGTCCAAACTAAACACCTCACAAAATCTCAGCTTGCAGTGGGTAGGTCACAAAAAAATTTTCCAGAGAAAATGTCTCAAAATCTAGCTACCTTCTCCATCCCTCTCTTGTTTTACCCAGACAAACACAACTCAAAGTCCCTTTTCTTGAACTTGCCTAGGAAGCTTTTGCAGCCTGAGCTGAAGGAGCTGTGCGGCCTTGGAGGTGACACCTCCTGCAAAATTACATAATAGCATTCAGATTGGCAGGATTGAAACTACGTACATCTTCATAGGCTGCAACTCCTGCAAAACAACCATTTGGGAACGAACACACAGCATTTGAATATTAGCTTTACAAATAATTCTGTAGCGTCAAAGGAATAATACTCCGGATTTTGCAGAGCTGAAAGAAATTAGGTCTCCAGGTGCCACACTTCAGTAAGATTAATTTCATTTTTTACTGTCTTTGGAAATTCCCATCTGAGTGCTTGGATAGCTCTGTAGTACTGGATCACACTAAAGCTGCATTCTTGTGAATTTTAAATACTGGTCACTGTTTTGTAATAAGCAGTGGAGCAGTGGGAATTTTACAAATTTGTTATTCAAATCATAGCTATTTGTCCTCTTGTAAGGAAGAAAGTAGCCCTTCTAAAATGGCTGCATGGTAACATCAGGAAAATTACTATCATGGGATATGTTACGTGAATGGATTCTGGGTGTTAGCAAACTGCGATCATCCTGTAGTGAAACTACCACACCTAGAGACTGAATTAGACTTTTTTTCAAGAGGACTTTTCTAAAAGATCAAGCAGGATGAAAGACTCACTAGGAGGAGTTCAGAGGAAGATGTCTCAGCTCCCTTTCCCAATAAAAGGATATGTTTTATCCATTTGCTACCCTTTATAAAATGCTAGACAGAATGAAATATAATTAATCCCAATTTACAGGCATAGGAGGAGAGCATAGAGAGACAAAGGAAGGAGGTGAACCTTGGCTGCATTCCTAATCATTGAAGAGTGCTTAGTTCCAGCTCATGACTCAAGCAACTTCACCCCTCTTCTGTACCTTAAGACAGGCTCCATAGCCACTCAAAATCAGGTTCTTGGTTAACTTAGATGCTTTCTAACATTTATTTATCAAAAATGCTTCAAAATAACATGTCCAAAATGCTCTCAGATTCCATTACTGATTAGTCACACATTGAATTTCAAATATACTTTACAAATTCATGCTTTCCAACCTTAAACTTCTGCTTTTATGTGAACCTAACTGTGGATTCATCGGCCCAAAGTTTGAGAATTCATGAACATACTTGTGAACTTATGAGGCAGTTTTCCTTCAGTTAATCATGAGAGAAAGAACACTTGCAGTGAGAGTTTGTTCTTTGGTCTGATCCTTGCCCAGAACAACCTTTAAGTTCATATTTATGTTGTTCAGATACTGCACTTTATACATATCTATATCTATATAAAAATATATAGATATCTTCTATCTATATAGAGAGATAGAATAGTATCCTGCATGTCAAAGAATCAGCTCCTAGGACATTTCTCTAGGGTATTTTTCTGGATCAGTCACTTGCAGTCTGCCTGTGGCTAGTGTTGTAAATAGGATTAGAAGAAAGAGCTGGGGATTATGTGGGTAACAGCCTAGTTGGCAGAGAGACAAATTAATCACAGAAAAAGAACAGAAACCACAGCATACCCTAGACTAAATAGGTTCATGTTTGAACAGCTGCTCTGCATAAGGAAGTACCAGGATGTTTTGTAAATCAAAAATTACCTTTCCTTTTTTTCCCATATTACTCTGATTAAAAAGTTTTCATTTTAACAGTTACCTGAATTTCTTAATGAGAAACAAATCTACACCTGCCACTGCTGAAATAATTTATCAACACATACACATAGCTCAAGCTATATCTCCATGGCTGAAAAGGCAAAAAAGGCATCTAGGAAAGTCATAAGGTCTAGAGTATCTAATATGCATTTGTGATACAAAGTTCCCCATTTGAAGAAGACTGTGGACAGCAACTTCAAGAAAACCATCTCCATCTACTGACAATCTTAGATAACAGTAATGAAGTCTGTTAAATTACCCCAAATTTAGGAATCAACATCTCAAAACACTGAAAATCTCTTGTTGCTTGTTTATGCTATACAAATACAACTCTACAACTCATGGCTAAACTGCACTGCTTAGGAGTGAGACCTGGCATAGAAGAACAGCAGTTTAGGATTTCTCTCTGTTATACAGTATACATGTAAATAGGACTTTACACTCTTTCTGATGTTGGTCAATGGTAAGTGTCATGGATTACATCTGACAGGAAGGTGGAAAAAAGAGGAAATTACATAGTACATACTTTTGCTCTTCATGCTGCCCGATCTATAGAAATGTTATCAGTTCCTGTAAAATGATTCTAACTGTCCTTAGAATGGTGACAACAAAACATACTATTAGATAAATTATATCTTTTTTACATCAGGTAATATTTCTCCCTCATAAACTATGTGTATATATATATATATATATATATATATATATATATATAGGATGTAAGCTTTATATGTATCAGCATCTTTTCATTATGCAGTTAGTGAGGAATTTGAGAGGTAGATGGCACACTATTTCTGTTGTGTCTGATCCAAGTCACTAGAAAAATTGGTAGCAATCTAGTGGAGATTTGCAAAAGACCAACCATCAATAGGAAATTGGCCAAAAGTGAAAATTTGTGACTTTTGCATCTAAATACTTTAGTTATTTTTTAAAAAATCTAAATTCCAATTCTACTGCCATTCTACATGTCAATTCTACTCGTAGCTAACAGAGATTCACATGAAGCATATTCTCCCAGCTATACCCAACTTTGGATCAAAGTGCTGGTGTAAAGGTTTTATTCTCAACTAATTTTATTATACATCCTTAAAACACTGACAAACTCACAGCCTGTTTAATATCTTTCATTAAGTTCAGTATTATGAGTAGAACTGACATGTAGAATGGCAGTAGAATTGGAATTAAGATTTTAACATCGGCTCTCAGACCGAGCATGGGAGCATGCAGCAATCTGAGAATAGACTCTGAAGGACAAGACATAGGAAAAATTATGCAGGTGTCAAAAATGAGCAAGAACGGTACTAGACAAAAAAAAACCCCACCTATCTCAGAGCTATTAAAAAAAAAAAATAAAGTCTCTCACACTTACCTTAAGTTTTCAGAACTGAATTCTGACTCCAGGAATTTAAGAAACTGCTCTCTTCCCACAGGGTCTTTCAAAGCTTCATCCATGCCAAACCCCCATCGCTTTACCCTCTGCTGTCCTGGCTCTTTGCTAAAGAAGGAACAAACAACAAACCTACAATCAGCAATACTTCAGTATTCTAACGCTTCACATTTATTACTCAGATTAAGTCCTAAAGTTTAACAGCAGATTTCTATCCTTCCAATCACTCATATTTACGCAGTGTTCAGCAATTAGGTTTTCAGGACTTCCACAGCACAAAGGTAATATGCCTGCACTTAGGTAGAAAATTAAGGACTTATAACTGGGAAGTGTTATCAGATTTTAAAAGGTGCCTTTTTTCTTTTTTTGCCAGATTGCACAGATTTATTAATACATATCTTTTCCCATACTGTAAAACTGTGAGATGGAAAGACCAAAAGAATATACATTTCCTCCATTGCTCTCCTACTGATATATAGAAATACATGTCTATATGAAATATTAATATTTCAAAGGAAGCCTAAGCTATAACACTTTAACCCAAAAGAAGAAATAAAATTATATACCTTGCCTCCAGTTCCCAAAAAGTAGTGTCATCTGATATCCATGGGTTGGAAGGATCAGGGGGCACGAGGAAAGGATCATATTCCAAATACTGCTCTGTATAAGCTAATAAACTAAGAAAACAAAAGCATCAAACACTGACATGTCAGGGAGCAAGGAAACTTCATCAGGTTACCACAGCTAACAGGCTACCTTACACCCAGTGAGCCATGTAACCAACTTTGCACACACTCAGAATTCATTTACAAGCTCAAGCTAAAGCAGATTTGCTAAAGTCTCAGTTTAAGAGTGCCAGTGATTCAATTGCCTCTAAATCTGTGGACTCCTGAAGAAGGAAGGCTGGTTCAGATCTTTCTTAATAAGATCTGAAATAAACTACAAACTTTTCTAATACTTCTAAATAGCTTTTCATTAAAGAATAATTAGAGCTCCTTAACACACTAATGAATTAAATCAAACATCATCTTCCACACTCATTTGCTTTTATAAAGGGACATGTTTCAGATCTCTATGGTTTTAAAGACAATTTCCTTAAAAATCTGTTCTAAAATACTGTCTGCTATTTGACTCACATTCACTGGCCCTATGGTTACAAGATCTATATATTTCCCATTTTTAAATAGTTAAAATTTTTATTATTTCCCAATCAAATGACAGACTCAAAAACACATTTTTTTTTCAAGTCTTCAGTGTTCATTGGTGTGACTGAAAATTTGCTTGTGTCCACTTCACATACCCTTACTCTCACTTTCCATCTCTTTTTTTTTTCCCTCCTCTTCATCATCATCGTCATTATCATTATTGAGAACTGGGGATACTTACCCATCTTTTGGTCTCTATTTATATTTAGTCTGTATTCTATCCTTATTTTACACCAAACACAAATTTTTAACCTGTTCTCTATATAAATACATATTCATATGTGCTCTTGGTGCGTAGTGCGTATATACACATCAGCATACATATACACAAGCATACCCATGTGCACATAGACATATATGAGGGGATAAAGAACTATTTCTGATTACTTTCTTTTCTTTTACTACCTCTTAACTTCTGGCAATTTTTACTTTTCCATATTTAACATATAGCAAACCTTTCTCAGTAAGCTGTGCTTAGTCTTCCTAAGGTGCATTTTGCTTGTTTCCTAGTGCCTTCCTTTCATATTTTGATACTATTCAGAGAGCAAGTCCTAATAATGTTACATTCCCTGACCTGAAAGCAGCTCAGAAGCACATTTTCAAGGGCAGAGCTCCTTTCCTAAATCACTTCCCATGCTTTATCTGTATTATTGCCCTTCTGAAATATCAAAACAGTAATCCCAGGCATTTTCCTAGTTCATCCTCCTACAGATGTAAGATGAAACTCATGACTACCATTTATTAGCAAACACATCAAGGAATATGTGGGCCTGTTATAAAACAATGTCATAGCTCACACTTACAGACTCTCGCCACCTATTTCTGTGATACCTGAGCTCCCTTGTCTCTCTCCACAGCTATTTTATGTTGACATTTTCCCAATAATTAGCTGTATAATTGAAAACACAGAAGATGTGACAATACACTTACCTCTCTGCAACTTTTGACATTTTTAATCGATGTCTGTCTAATTGCATTTGCCAGTGCTTAATCTGCACAAAAGGAAAGCAAGGAGTGATATGAGTAATTCACTGTTTAATGCTGTTTCTGTAACTCTTTTATTAGGGCTGTAATTTAACCTTTATTTATCCTAAAAAAGAAGTATATCTTAGTGACAACATTTTAATATTACAATTCTAAAGTGAATGGAATTCCTGTCATGGGAAAACATTTTTCAGAGACAAAAAAGTTGTCAATCTAACATTCTCCCTACAGGTTCATCAAAAGAAATCCAGTTAGTCTTTCAGTTAGATTTGTAAAGGTACTAATTCTTCTCCCAGTTCTAACACCTCAGGAGAGATCAATGAAGTATTTATGGTAGGTGTATAAGCACTTGTATGTGTATGGTGAGATGTAGCCATACCCCAAACCTAACACTGAAGTGTGGAAACAAGGGAATGAGAGAACTATCTACTGCTAAAGGGACTAAAGGGCTTAACTATGCAAAAAATCAATTGGCAATTGTTTCTAAAGCCCTTAACTGTTACTGAACTAAGCATTCAACAGATCTGTTCTGAATACACCTCCCAGTCCTGATAATTTTAGCTTAATATGCTTTCTTAAAAGGCACACATGAAGTATATGCTTAGAGCTATTTTTCAAACCTCTTGGTGCAGTTCATCTTCTGTGGGTGGCTTAGTCTCTGGTACTGGTGTGTGGGTAGGGCTGTGACTTCGAATATCATTTTGTAATCCGTAGACAGACTGTGCAAAAAATATGGGGAAAAAAAAGCTGCTTTCAGGCAATTTCTTTCTATACATACTAATAGTAAATGAACAGGTTTTTAACATCATACTCACAAGGTTAGCCCATACAATCTCTTTTTAAAGAAACTGTAAATTAGCCATGTACTGAGATAAAGACTCTCAGAAGAGCCCAGTTTCATAATGTCACAGAATGCAGTATTAACTTTTATTTTCTCTTTATATTAGCAACATAGCAAATATGGGGGTTGACTGAAAGGCATCAGTAAGTTGAAATGGCAGTCAGGAAAGGAAGAAATAACACTTGGTGTAAGTGTAAAGGTACACTATCACAATAAATTATTTGGATGATTCTGAAATTTGTGATTAGTGCTTGAAAAATTAATATAATTTGGAGCTTTCACTACCATAAATAGACTATGCTAAAACTTTCTGTCCATCCAATTACCTTTTTAAAACAGATTTTTTTTTTGTGGGTGGACACTGGAATATACATCAAAGGGAATACTTTAAAATTGGACTACATTATTATGAGACAAAGAATTTGATATAAAATGATGGCCCAGACTATTTATAAATTCTTAGAGAACCTGTATAGTTCATGCCTGGATCCTATTTTAGATGAAGGTTATTTCTCCTACAGTTTCTAGCCAACCATTTGGGGGGTATCTGTAAATCATAGATACCTTTTTTGTACAGGAAGGCCAAGGAGTACTGCTATTATAGGTTATATAGGATTCTTCATTATTTTCCTTAGCTACGGACAGAAAGATTTTAACATGCTTTTACTGATACAAAGATTTTAACATGCTTTATTGAACAACATATATAAGGTATGCAAAATAGGTTATATTTTCATAGCAGCTGTGTACTTCTCCAAAACATTTCTTGTGTGATAGCCCTTAATTATTATTACAAATTTGTCAATACTAAATCAATTAAGAGCTTTTATATCAATAGATTCATGTATCTGTTCATTTGAGTGAAAGAACAATTTATTTTAAGAAACTATGGAGCTTGACACTGTAAATTACCCCAACCTTCTCTTTTTATATAATAACAGAAGTTACCTTTCTCGTTTTATGTGGATTTCTCATTCTTGAAGACTTTTTTATATCCACTTCAGTGGTGTTTACGCATCCAGGCTATTAAAAGAAAATGAAAAGAAAGCACAAGGATAAAATCAGAAAATGAACTCCATACTAGTTGTTTTGTGGTTTTTTTTGTTTGTTTTTTAGATACTCCTCTTTGGTTTTTAAGGAGAAGAAAACACATGATAAGAGGTATATAATAAAATGATATCCTTCTGCAATAGCTCCTAAAGAAGATACACTGCATCCTAAATGATACAGCAGTTAAGTACTGTTTCGTGTAGCTTACTCTAGGAGTAAGCTCTTCTTATGAGCCTGTTTTGCCAGACATTGTGATGACTTTTATGATATGTTTTCATGCTGAAAATACTAAGAGAAACATGTAGAGAAGAAGAAGATATCCAAATGCTTAATATATGAGGCCTTTGTAGCACATAGTGATGCTATTTTCAGTTAAAATTGTTATTGGCAGTATTTGGGAATTTGTGGGTGAGTCACTGAAGCCCATGTGCTTACAGCTATTGACACTATGAATCTCAAATAAAATAAACTCTTGAAATAATAGAAATAAGTTATGTCTTTCTATCTCGCTTTTACAAAGAAAGGATGACTTAATAAGACAAAATAAATAGAACTGTGCAATACCCACTTCAGCTGTGAACCCCAGACTCCCTTCAAGAGCCTCTGCTTCTGGATCACTTTGGTAAAGATGACCTTTTTTTTAAAAAAAGAGGAAAACAAGATGGCAAATTGGGCTTTGTTTCTTTAGAAAAGAAAAGCAGGCTTCAATAGCCTCAACAGAACTGGTTCTGTCTAAATAGAATGATTCTCCACAGCATCTTATTTGGCCTTCAAAAGCTCCTTCTGACAATCCTGTAGCTTCCCTCCAATACACAAATCCCCTAGTTTCTTCTTATTCATATGCCTTTCTCTAAGTATGAATTTTGTGTAGAAAAATGTTCTATGGTAATTGCTGGAATCAACTAAAATAAGTATTATGCTCTCAAGTGAGTTTAGAGGAGTAGATTTCCCACTAAGAGATGGAGCTAGGAAACCTACTATCTCATGCAAAGAGATTTAACAAGGAATAGATTTCTTCAGTCGGAGTAGCTACATTTAGAATTCACTTGCCAGACAATCAAACTGGACTTATTATCACACTAACGATACTCTCTTCAAAGTATATTTCATTAAACAGACTAATGATACCAAAAAAATAAAAAATTAAATAACTATCATTTTTTAGCCACTGTGTTCTTTAAATTTATAGATAGGCTTTTATTTTAAAATAATACATTACTGCATGCTTTGACCATCTTACATTAGCAGGATAAATTGTTCTTCCTTCCTTACCAAGAATAAAAATAGGTACTGAGAAAATATCCTTGAGATTGCATCTTTTGAACTAGATTTAGAGAAGCACATTTTGTGCCTGTGAAGAGACAGGCACAGTCTTTTAACTCAGAATATCTTTCAACTCTCAAAGAAAAAGGTGGGTTGAAAAATATGCAACCCTGCATGACAGTCAACTTAAAGGCAGAAAGCAATTTCACAGCACAGGATATTGAGATACTAAGTTAAAAAGAAAACAATGCATCTACATTAGGATTATGCCAGAAGCCCGCAGTGAAAAAGGCATGATCTTTTAATAATATCTACAGCCTTTGAATGCAGCAATTCAAATAGCAGACACACTTACTTACATAAGGCACAAACTTTTTTTCTTTTTTTTTTTTTTTTTTGATTTTTTCATTTATGGTTTATTAAAAGCAAAAACTAAAGAAAAAAAAAAAAAAAAAAAAAAAAGAGGCAAAAAATCTTCTGAAGCTTCTTCTTCTGGGAGATTTCAAGTCCACCAGCATTCGATCAGTATGAATAGATTTATGGCATTGGTCAAGGCAGATGAAGGGGCACAGCTGGGGGTGACAGGACAGCAGTGGCAGGCAGGTACACAAAGGGACATTTCATGAAGCTCCAGGACAAAAGGGATGACACCTAAAGGACACAGCAGTTCCCTGAGCTTGGGGCATACATCCTCAGTTCAATCATTGGAATCACCTAATGAAATTGGGACCAAAATTCATGTTGGCCTTTTAACCAAAGAAAATCTGGTATGATGACATTGAAGGCCCCAGGAGTTGTTTCTCTGTTGATGCCACATGCTGAGTATTGTTTCTCTGCTGATGTCACATTTCATCTGTCATTACTAAGGAATAAATAGCAGGCATATTTTGAGTTAAAATGAAAATAAAAGCTTTTATTATTTGAATATTTTGATAAAATTATTCAGAATATTTGTAGAAAATCTTTGTTGGACAATATTGCATTTTAGTCACATGCCCCCTTTAACATAATAAGTATGTGTTTCAATACAATTACATCCAGCTGTGTTTTCTTTTTGTGTTGCTTTTTTAACCAGACTACCATGGATCAAATAGTGACATGCCTGTCATAGTATTCTGTTGCAAGATTCCTATTTAGTGTGTAGCATATAATTTGCATACTAATACTGTAAATAGTTTTTAAACAGATTTCCCTGGAAGATATGAAACCTTTTCTATGTGAGTAAACAGAGTGCTTACTTCTTTCGGGGCTAATATTGTGTATGAAAACAGTTCTGCCCCTCAGGGAAAGTCTACTGACCTTCCTGAAATTGTAATACCGAAATACCATAGCCATTTTTTTTTTCTTTTGAAAACTGTTTTGAAATAAGCTTGCTAAAAGGCTGGCATATACATGCATATATTAAAAAAAATAAGAAAAGTAACTTATTTTCATTAATTAGTTAACATTCTCTTATCTCAAAGTATAAATATCGTTATATTAACTTACCACAGTGAACTTGTCACTCCAGTGATGACAGGTTCTGTGCTTGGGTACATGTATGCAACTAAATAATATCAAAGTTTTTACTACATATATGAAATTAATCCCTTAACCAATTACTGAATAATCATGTAAATACAAACAGTACTACTTTCTGCTGATGTTCACTGAAAAGGTATATAGCAAGAACAGGCCGCGAAACAAAACTGAGGGATAAAATCTCCCTTGCTTTGCTTCTGCCTTGTGGCAGATTTGGAACCTGCTGTTCTTGGGACTTCAATGCTTTGATCTATCTTGAGTCAACATTTCACAGCAACGACCGCCTGGGGGTAATTTGGTAAAAACAAATGCACTTGATATTCATAATCTTTCCCTGATAGCAGTGGCAACAGTGAATTAATTAACTAAGCTCTGCACTTGTGCTAACAGTGAATTAATTTTTGACACCTGTGGTAACTGTTTGGAAGTACTTTTTGTATACAACAAATGGGAAATGTGACACTTCAGCCGTGATAGTTTTCCATCCACGTAGTGCAGAATTCCCAATATTTAAAATTTGCTCACTGTTCATCATTTCACATTCCAAGAGTCCTGTATAAACAAATTGATTATATCTTCTCAGTTTGCTATAAATATAGTGTTTTTATTGTCTGTACAAAGTCAAAAGTAACTACTACCAACACATTTTAATGTTAGAAAGTCCTTGGTACGACATACTTGCAATGCTCATAAATGTGAAACCCTCACCAAAAAGTAAATTAATTTTCATTCTGAAGGAAACTGAACTTTTTATTTCCTAAAGAATACAACTATTTAACTGTGAATCCACTCAACTGAGAATTACCAAAAGTTGTGCTGTATTTGAGACAAATAAATCCACATATATGGGAGGGAATAACCTCATGCATGGGAGCTGGTTGGTTACTAAATGGCTAGGTCATAACCCTGTAGCAAATGATCTGAGGCACAAGAATCTGAACATGTAGCAGCTGTATATCCTCACAGCAATAATGTCTAACCACAAACTGAGCTGTTTTAGTAACAGCATAGCCACTAAAGAGAGGAAGTGGTTATTTCTTTCTGTTCAGTATCATGCGGCTGCATATGGAATGATTAGGAGGTTGGAGTATGTGACATTGAAAGGCTGAAGGAAGTGAGTCCTTCTAGTTTGCAAGGAAGTAATTGTTCTCTTCCATTATCTAATGGTGGGGTACAGAGCCCAACTGGTGTCCAAGTTGCATGGTGAAAGCCCAGAGGGCAACAGCCAGAAACTGCAGTAACAGCTATACCAGTTGGATACATGGGAAATACTCTTCACAACAAAGGCACATAAATACTAGAATAAGTTGCACACACTGTGTGCAATCTCCATCCTTGGGAATTTTCAAAAGATGATTAGAGAGGCCCTGGGCAAACTGATTCAACTTCACACTGCTCTGGGAAGGAAGCAAGAGTACATGATCTTTAAGCCTAACTTCTGCTATGATTTTTGCCTATAGTCAGGTAGTAGGGACTCAAATTCAAAAAGCCGTCTACGATGTTTCAACCTATAAACACAAACCTAATGATTGCTTAAAGAAAAAACTAAATTTTATAGCTTTATTAGCCAAAAAGATATAGACAAAATTTTAAAGAATCACCTCATTTCAATATGCAAACCCAAAAATTCAGGATCTATTAAAGCAGTAAATATTTAGATAGACTGATGTGCATTTCTTGTACAAGAACTTGTTAACCATTTCAATGTCAGTTCACTCTGAAATAGATTTGTATATTTGTTTTACAAGCATGGGCTAACTTGCTAAGATTAGCTGCAAAATATTTAATTTCGTTAACTCTAGGTTGAGTGAGCTCATCGCACCTGTTCCAAGTTTAAATAATACAGGTTAAATAATGTACCCGGACACAAACATGGCAGATCCTGGGTTCCAGTTGCAAAAGGTAAAAAGAGAGTAGCACAAGTCAAACACACGAAAATGTAAAAGAGAAGGCACAGATTGAAAGCTATCTTCTACATTATCTAAAATAGTAGGCTATCAAAAATATATTAAGCTTAAAACCTGAAATTTCCTAAGTGTCAAATATTACTGTTGCCTCCTGTGCCAATCTATTTTGCTATTTCTGTCATTTTTCCATTTTCTGTCATTTTGTTAGGGAGTCTTTTAACCCTCAACAGTCAGTAATCATCTTACTTAATTCTAAGTGAATTCTAAGCAGAATACCAGTGC